ACGGGAGGGAGGCGGGGAAGGAGGGAGGGAGGGAGCGGTGCCACCGGGAGCGACGCCCCGCGCTCCCGTCACGCTGCGGCGGGACCGCCCCGTCCGCCCTTAAAGGGCGCGCGGAGCCCCCCCTTAGAGCCAGGGTTGGCTGCGACACGGCTCGAGTTAATGAGATTATAGCAATCCGTAGCAATTAGTGCCGGGGGGTGACTGGGGTCATTAATACAGCCGTGCCTGGAGTGGGTCACCACAGACCTGCCGTGAGGAGTGGGACAGACCCCCAGCTCCTGGAGCAGGTGGTTGGCCTGGAAAACCTTGAGGCCCAAGGTGCAGGGTTAGCCCTGTATCCGAAAGCCAAGTTATGCATTAAAAATGGAACCAAGACCTCTTCTGTCCGAGGTGGGGATGGCTCCTGGTGCCAGGGACAGGCAGAGAGTTGGGACCATCAAATCCTACATTCCACCCACTGCCAACACAAGACTGTCCTTGATTTGTGCCAATGTATTCCCAGAAGCACCTCATCTGTCTTAATTTCCTAGAAAAAAACAAAAAAAGAAATCTTGAACTCCAAATGTCTCTACTGCACTTAACCCATTTTAGGTATTTGGGGACTAAAACTCTACAAAACAAACCTACTGACTGGAAAAGCTCTGTTGAGTATTTTTTGGCTTCTAAACAGTCTCACACAGCAGTGTGGTGTCTTTGTGACACAGCATGTGATGCTGCACTGCAGTTTTGCTCTACTGGAAAGACTAAAAATAAGCACTAAACCACTAAACTAGTTTAGCATCCCTGTCAAGAGGTTTGATTATCTCTCCATTTGTTACAGTTTCAGTAGTCTCCTAAATAACCAGAATTTTCCTAAAACCTCCATGAGCAAGAGAAACCACTGTTACCTAGAGATATATAGTTATATATATATATAACTGTATATATATATAGTTATATATATAACTATACTTACCTACTATATATGCATTAACTACCTCATTTTACTTCCTAGTGTTGGGATCACAAAGGCAAACCAGGTCCAGTCCCACCTGCAGTAGCCAGGGAGACACATCCCAGCGCTGCTTTCTGCTCTGCTCTTTCTGTCCCTCTTCCAAAACCAATGATTCAAGGTATTGCAGCACCACCTGAGGATGACTACTGACTGAATAGAAACCCCAGGCTAAGAGGTTGTACGCAAATACTCCTGTGTGCCTCTGCAACCTCACTAAACTAGGCCCAGCTGAAATTGTGCAAATGAACCAGAAAGTGCCAATGGACCTTTTCTTTACTTTGACAAGAGTTGTGAGATAAGAACATAAGCAGGGTAAGCCAAACTCTTACTTTGTAAAAGCCATGTTTGTGTGCTTCAGTGTCATGATGCCCAGCCTGCAAGTATGAACAAAACTCACTTCAGTCAGATAAACCACAGACTTGTCTGAGCATATCTCTCCTCCTATCATCTACTGCCACTGTAGAAATCTCAGAATTGGGGTTGTCCAAGTCTTGCCAATTCTTGGCCCACGCATCTGATTTTTTAGCAGCAAAAAAATATTTGTACAAACTCAATGAGCTAAGGGTTTTATGAGAAACTTAATGGCTGGGGAGAAACGTTAGGAATGCTGCTAGCTGTAGTTTCTTTGAAACCAAACATTTACATAAAGGTCTCCTAAATGCTTCTTTTGGACCCTAAGTTATCAGTACTCCACAAGGTTTGGTTTATTTTTCCTTTCCCTATTGAAAATTATTGCCTAAGAAATAAAAAGAAGTCTTCTCATGGATGTGCATGCTAAGATCTATCTTCAGTACTGAGATAAGAATCCTCAGGCATTTAAAATTCTCTCAAGAAATACTATGTCTCAAGTGTCTAAGTGCTTAGGGCTCTATATTTTTGGGCTATGTTTTGACTTAAAATGCTGACAGCCAGATAAGAGCCTTCTGTATGTTGTTTGAGAGATGGGACAGGGAGAAAAGTTAACAGCTGTATTTCTTAATGCCAATTTTAAAAAGAAACACGAACACAAATTCCTTTGCTGTCCTGACACATGCTTTAAAATACCGTGAAAACACAACAGGTGAGAAACAAGTTTTCTTTTTCTGTGGTTCATGTAGAACCTGTCCCAGGCAGATACATACTCCCAGGTGGAATCCATACATGAGCTCTGCTGACAGCCCAGGGAAACTGCTGTTACCAGGATATATTCAGGGACAAGCTGTAATTTAAAATGCAAGATGCGTAACATTCAGTATGAATAAAATGGAAACAATGAGAATTTTAAACAAGAGGCAAGTAAGTATTTTCTTGGATTCATTGTCTTTCCACAGTAAAGAACACTAAGGAACTTTTTTCCTAGTGTTTCGCTTACTCCAAGGGAGTGATCTTTTGCCTAATAAATATTTATCTGGTGTCATGCTCTGTTAGCTGGTTGCAATGACTAAATTTAGAAAGGCTGTGATCCTTCTTCTGATGCTTCTTTTAAGCTCTACTGGGCAAGTAGAAGGCTTAGGAATTAAATGAGGTCACTCTAGTCCTAAGGGTGCTCTGAATTGTTTCAATGCTATTAAAATTTACACAGCTAATTCTTTTTCCTTCTTTAGTATCACTGAAATATTTTTATACCAAGTAGATTGCAGTTCATTAGTGATCAACAGAGTCCTCTAAATCATATTATGGGCTGTATTAGGAACGAACACTGGTTTTTGTCTTCACTAGCAAAAAACATGTATACTTTTTTTGGGAGAGATGAATCCAAATCCCTTTCTTCATGTCCAACTCTAACTGGAGAGAAGATACTTTTTTTTAACTTAATGTTGAAGTTTTAACTTAAATTAGCTACATCTGAAATCAAATCCACCTGCAACATCCAGGTAAAGTTCTAGGTTCTGCATAATGACAGAAAGGCAATCTTGCCTTAGGCCATTGTGATATACACGTATGAAATATAGTCAATATAAGTAAGTGCAATAACACAGCTAAAAACCATTTAACATATTTTGTTTCGAATCAACATGAATATATGGAAATGAAAGGCTATTTGGTAATGGTTATTACTGCTTAGCTGACAGAAACAAACTTTGCTGAAATCAGCAAGTGTAGTGTGCTTGTTATTTTGGAAAGTTATCCCATCTGGAAAATAGAGTTTTAAGTGGAAAAATAAAAGGTGCTATATTTAATTCAGCCCCCCCCTTTGATCAGAATAAGCAGCATGATAAGGAGTTGTTAAAAATCGTACTAATCAGCTTCATTTGTACCCAAAGCTTCAGAACTAAATGAATGAAACAGGGATCCTCCATAAAATATATTTATACATCCACGACATATATAAAAATTCTCCCAGTCTCATCTTTTGTGCTAGTAAACCTGTTATCTTATTCCATATGATTATAATTTATGTTTTTAGTAATTTTGATAATGTTTCCTATCCTAGCAGTAAGTTAATTATCAGCACCTGGGAGTAAAAACAGCATGAACTGCAGGCCTGCTGCTCATGGAGCAGATAAAGCAGAATATGAAGACAGTGAAATCATATTAAGTCTGAAAGGAAGATGTCAGTACTGCTAAGGGTGTAAGCTTCAAGGTCTCTGTTATTTAGGACAGATTACCAGAGGTATGTGGGTATTACATAAGAATTTAAGTATCCCTGCGATTTTTTGAAATGACCTAAGCAAGTTCTATGCCAACATTTATTCAGAATTTCTTTTGACTTCCTGGAATACTGAGAGAAGAGATTCTAGAAACAAAAGCATACAGACACTTTGGAACTAACAACTCCTTTCTATTATCACATGGCAAAACTTCCTCAGGGATGCAGGGAAAAAGGTCCTGATTTTTCAAGAGCATTTTTGTGGTTTTTTTTACTTCTTGTTTAAGGATGATTTTCATAGCAATAATTTATATTATTAAATGTACTTCAAATGCTACCGAACTACCTAGTAAAATTACCTAATAGTTAGCAACAAGATCCAACATTCATTGCTAATAATTCACTCATATCCACTGTAAGTAACTTCCATGCAAAGTAACTCTCAGCTTGTACTATTTCTGATTCTGCCTCTCACCTGAAGAACAGCTGTGCCACACAGACTATTTTTCTAGCTGCATGGGCTGACCTAATAAAGGATATTATTCTACCCACAAACCTGTCTTACTCCAAATACAGCTTCTGAGCAGGAAAAAGAAATCAAATCCTGGTTTTGTACTAAAAGCTGTCACCAAGCTGTGAACTAAATGTACTTTTACAAAACAAAAATGGAAGCCTGCACAAATTCTGTAAAATGTATGTCAAATCCAGGAGATAAGAAGTATAATTTTGGTCAATTCTGTTGTTAATCCTACTGTAAAATGACTTGGCTCTTCAGTAATAGTCTGTTGAGCACAAATAACTGTAAACAGAAAAGCTGTAACTAACACTCTCATTAGTTCATAATAAATATTTAGAATATCATGATAAAGATTTAAAATGTGTTCATTTTTGTTTGTAAAAGCTACCTTAATGGTGTTATAACATTCAAAATAGAAGGGCTGGTGTACTGAACCACCGAACTCCTGGTACAGACCAGAAGTCCATCTGTCTTTGCAATTTTAATTATACAGTCACCAGGTTCCCGGAACTGTCGCTCAGCAGCAGAGAAATTTATGCATATTGTTATGCATTACAGACACCCTCCTTTTAAGTACAAACTACTTGCACAGCTGAAGCATTTAAACATAGCAGACCATTGTTTTGTCCCCTTGTTAACAAACAATAAAGAAATCAAGATGTGGAGAGGGGTGAACACAATTTATTCAAACAGAGAGTGATTCCCATTTGCTGAAACACTTCAGGTCAAGTAACTATCATTCCAATGTTGTTCTCATTCAGCAGAATCCAGTATGAATTCTCATGCTCTTTCTCTGTAATACCATGCTTTCACTTCCAGCCCACAAATTCTTACTCATATTTATGAGAAGTGTTACTTGTTTTAACTTTCCCCTATAGTGGAATACCAGCCACAAACTGTGACCAAGTTAAAAAAATCCACTTTTTGTATCTGTAGATTTTTCATCTGTTTCTAGCTCTTAGGGTTCCCTTCAGGTGAAAACACAGCATACAATAAACCAGCCTTTGAAGGAAGAACTACAAACCAAACACTTTCTTAAACTGAAGGTATCACAGAACTGTTGATTCAGCCCAAGTACAGGGCAGAGAGAGCAACAGGTGAATCAAAGCAGCCAGTTCCTGGGACAACCTTGCACAGCGCAGACAGCAACTGGAGTTTACTTGTCCCATTGCAGGCAAATCAGGAAAGCCAACAACCACAGAGATTTCTCTCTCTACTGCAAAGCCTTCCAGACCCTGTTTTCAGGAAATTAATTTTACCTATTTGAAGCATATCTAGAGACATAAAATACCCAAAATCTTTGTTGAAAATCTTCAGAACAAAGATGGTCATTAACTCTTTAAATGGCACCCCATGCAGCCATAGGTTAGCAAAAAATAAACTCCTCTAATTTCTGCACCCAAAGTTGGCAAAATTCAGTTAAACTTGTCCCTATAGAATCTAAAAAACCACAAACTTTGAGAGCTGTGCTACAGCACTGTTTCTGGAGAATCTTCTTAACACTCAACTTCATCCTCTTCTTTAAAGATTTTACATTTCTTATTAATTTTATGCTTACAATTGCATATTAGTAAATTTTTAAGTAACAGAATTCTAATAGTGTTTCATATTGGTCTACCTCTAAAATGAAGTAAATATAAATACCTAAGACACATCAGGTAAAACTGGAACTGCCAGTTCAGAGATTTCACTACCTTTCCCAGTCTCAGCAGCCACATGAGCTCATGTGACGTGTGACGGGCACAGTCCACACAAGGATGTTACTCCTGCTGCTCTGCCAGAAGCCAGGTTTGCCAAAAACCCCTTCCAAAATCGAAACACAAGAATTGCTGTATACAGTTATGAAAATACAGTATTACAATACTAGTACACTGATCTTTGCTATAGATACTAAATTAAACTATAAAGCATGAAGAGCAAGATCTAAAACATTGTATTCTCTACAAAATAATCAAGAAACATGGAATAATTTCTATACTAGGGTATTGCCAAATTTCCACTTGTAAAAGCTAATCCCAGTAGAATAATACCTGTGTTTACTTAAACTACATCACAGGTACAGCGTGTGTAGTAAATGCAGACCATGTGGATGTACTCCAAATCAGTTTTGATTTGCTGGTTCAGTAAAAACAACACTGTAGCTGTTGTATCCCATTCCCTATCCTGAACAAAACATATAAGAAAGCATCCAAAGATTATGAGCTTCAACAATGGATATGTCACTTTGCTAAATACTATATTTCTAAGGAAATTAATGTTGAGTGTTATTCATAGAATGTTTCTAAAATTTGAGTCATATCCATGTAAGCCATCTGGAAGCACTTCCAGGAGATGGGAGATTTGTAGAAGTATAAACAGTGTTATTTACATAATGCATGTTTTACTTTTTCCACTGTAAAGAAAGAAAGAAATAAAACCACCTTAAACTCTTTACATACAAAATGATTGTAATTGAAAAAGGACTGTTTAAGAACTTGCATGTGATACAAGGAGATTAATCAAACATTAATGACTGACAGACTTTCTCCTGGTCAGCATTACCAGAAAAGTCTGTGGCAAGAAAAGTTTCTGGCTTTATAGTAAAGAACAGTCAACAAGAAAAAGCACAGAATGCTGGATTTTTGTTTAAATTATCAAAACCTAACCAGAGAAATCCTAAGACAGAGACAAATCTGTTTTCATATTAAACCAATTAGATATGAAGAACTTTTTTCCATTCTGCTGATATGAACGGATTTTATGTAATTTGCCAAATGCCAATATGAACATTTCATATTCCAAGACCGTGATTTCTTGTAATGAATTACATGGGTGTAGACCTCTGTGTCTTTCAAGAATCCATCCAAATGAAAGAACATTTACGTGCACCTCACAAAGTCATTAAAGAGCAAAAGCCAGATTTTATTACTTTTATTAATTACACTACACAGTAAGCCATGCTGACCCTTCCTTGTTAGAAAATAAGCTCATTAGAAAACCGTATCAATATACCACTACTAGTTATCAACCCATGCTGAGGGAAAGAACTGCACAGCTCTTGACCAGATGCAGTTTGTTTATTAAACACAACTAATATGTAAAAGATTATTTACCTGTTTTTCTTTATCCACTTTGGACATGAAAATCTGTTTGCATTTGTCCTTAAAAGCAAAGTTTAAAGTATGTTTTTGGAAATATTGTGTAACGTTTAATAAATCACCAACACTAAAAATCCTACAGAGAAAGAAATGGATCTTAAAAATAACCAAAACCTTTAAAATTTTCAAAGTTTACACTACACCAAGTATACTGTACTATATCTCTTCTATTTGGTATGAGCTGTAACAATGGCCAAAAACCTTCCTTTTAAGGTCCTTTCTTTTTCAACCATTTGGTTTTGGCAATCTGGATTTATTCTGACACGCATTCAGTGTATGAATTTGGTGTTAGCACAATATCAAACTGCAAGTGAAATATCAGTAACAGTGAGAAATAGCTTAGATTTTCAACTTCCTTCTTCATACATTTCTAAGTCTAGGGATACCTATGGAAACTGCAGGACAGCAGAGTATTTCACAAAATGTGTAGAAATGGCTTTTCTGCACACAGGCGGTGCTCACAGTCCACGTGAAAGCAACGCCAAACGGTTTACAGAGGTATCAGAAACTTGGTAGCACTTTTTAAATTATGTTATTCTTCTAAATTAAAGAAAGGGTTCCTCTGGACACTAAGATAAAAGTCTAAAGCTGAGGAGGCAGTGCTACTACATGGCTTTGAGAAAAAGAATTGTACTATGCTCGGATGCCCTCAGTTCTGTTTAAAGGAAGGTTTCTTGTGAAGGAGAAAGCCAAGCTAAATAGCTGATGGGTACTGAAGGAGTCTCACCTCCATGCACATCTACATATATACAGTGTTTCTTTGGCAGTGACTCATTTGTGTGTTTGGTCCAGCTGAGTCAAACCCAGTTTAACCCAGTAACTGGCAGCAGAGTAACCCTGTCTGACTGAACACAAGGATCTAGATGTTAGTTGCCCTCTTTTTAAAGCATTTAAATATCCTCTTTTTAGCATTCAAACCATATAGCCTTGCTTTTAAAAGGCTGAAACGAGACAAACATCAGCAAAATTACCTTTTTCCATACATATACACACTTCTGTGCACACTTCTGCTAAAAGCAGTGCAGCAAGGACTGTTTGCTTTTCTGTATGTTCCTCCTTCCATCTACTACGAAATCTAATATCCAAACCTCATGTATTTTAGACTTTTCAGAGGTGCTGTTCAGATGTCATCCATACAATTATATATTTTCATTTTTCAAACATGAGTTACATCTCACATCACAGAATTTACAGACGGGGAACAGATCTAACACGTTACTGATATAACTCAGTTTTGTATGTCTCAAAGTGAAATACTGTTGCTTATGTGCTAAGAACAATAACTTCTGGAAAAAGCTGATCAACAAAATCTTCAATCATATGCCTAAACTTCAGGCCTAAGACTTCTACTGCTTGGAACTAAAGCAACTGTTAAGTGATCAAGACAAGCTGTAAATCACTCCATAAGAGTGGGCTCTTATAAGCATTTGATTGACTATTTTAGAACTACTCCTGACAGTGGTAACTTCAAGTGAAAACAAGATCTAATGATTTGGTCATGATGCCTATGAAACTGAATTTACTTTCCTGAACACTTAAACTTTTTGATCCTGTTGTTCAAAATGCAACTTCAGTCATGCATTTCACGAAAAGCAAGTAGAAACAGCAGAAAAAAAAAGTGCACGGTTGACATGGAACACGATGAAATGTGCAAATGACCAGATCTAAATATGCAGGCTGGGGGTAAAAAGACCCAAAATCTTACATTTTAACCCAAACTTAAGTAAAAAAAAGTTTTAGGAGCAGCTGACCTGTAATTTACAAATATTTTAATAATAAGTTAAATTTTGTAGAAAAATTCTGATTTTGCAAACATCTTGCCTACTCTTGCCCTACATGGATATAACCTAACAGGTTTTGTAATATCCAGCTGTAAATTGTGGAAGATCTAACTAGACAAATTATGTTTAAATAAACAAAGGAGAAAATATGTGAAGTAAAAAAAAATAGATGAATGCGCTACTGTGTTTAACAAATATACATTTTTATTAAGAAATTAGGAATATAAAATAAGCCAAGTCCATGCAGAAGTCTTAAAACCATCTACCCCGCCCCCCATCTTTCTTTGTGTCTTCAAAATTGCATTTTAACAAATATAAGTATTATTTATAGTTAAAACTCATGAAGTCAAGTAAAACAATCAACCACACTATAGTCCTTGAGTGTGCAGGAGAGCATAAGGGCAAAAATGATTAGTCATTAGTTTTTTGAGGCTAAGTGCCATGAATTGTCTAAAGGATTTCTTTCTGTGTTGATCAACACAATGCTACTGAAAACATTCAGTATTTTCAAGGCCCTTAGAGAAACAAAATTTTAACTAATTGGAAAAAGTTTTTTTCCTTCATCACCAATTGCCACATGTTCAGAGAGTACTTTTGAGGATCAGCTTATCATTTTACATTGCATATTGTGTGTGCACTGACAGCAGTGACTGTACAAATTATGTTTTCATGTAATAAAGTTATGATCAGGATAAAAAAATTGACAGTATATAAAAATAGGAACTTTGGTTCTCTGAAATATTTTTAAGTATTCAATTGATAAGATCATTGGAATCACCACAGAAGTTTTACCTATGTCATACCACAAGGTATTTATGTTTTTCTAAAGCATTTCAAAGATACACCGTGGGTGGGCACCTAAATTAAGTTCATTCCCTTTATATGGAATACTTTAAAGAACTAACACCACCATGAAGGATGGTTGAGTGTCCAGGAAGCTCATCTATGTAGCTAAGCCAAAAGACAGTTTAAAGGCCAGTTCAACAGCAGCTTCTGTGACTGAGTCATGAAAACAGACGTAACACTCCTGAGGTTTTGGATGTAAAATGAGTCTCCTGAGAAAAAAAAAAAACAACAATAAAAAGAAGAAAATCTTCAGAGTTGTTAAGTTTTTTTCTCCTCAAATGATAAATTCTTGTTGTACTCTGAGGTTTCAGTAAGAAGTTAAAACCAGCTCCTGTGTAAGACAGCTGGCAAATTTCAGTGTAATTTAATTTTTAAATCAAGTTATTCTCTGCTCAGTTTTCTCATGGCTGTGCATGGAAAAAAATCTTTAGGATTTCAGGATCTATTTGTGTGGTACTAGTGTGTTTGTAGCAATCCAGGTTTCTGGGCGACAAGCTGCCATCAAGGTCCTTGGGAGCAAGCCCCAGAATTCAAAAATTTACTAATTCCCACATACTAATCCAATGAGCTCTTTTAGGGAAAGAGCTAAAATAGAAAGCTGTTAATACCTGTGCATAACCTTGTGTAGCTTTATAATTATTTTTTAAAGATATCGACAGTAGCATAAACATTTTTTAAATGTTTAAATTAACAATTTTAATGTTTCCATGCAAACTGCATTGATGTACATTCTTTGTGGGAAACAACTGCTTTTTTTTTTCTCTTTAAACATCTTCCCTCCCCTCTGCAAAAGCTGTCAGCTCCATGCTGTTTTCACATTGGCTCAGTGATCCCCCCAGTTAAAGGTGGAACTTCACACCAGGGCAACTTCCCAGTCCCAAATTAAAGATACCTCAGTCAGTCTGCTCAAGCATTTCAGTGATGTGCTACAGTATTTATTCTTGGCACACTCAAAAGCTGGAGACAAAATTTGTCTTTAAACTTACCCCACAACCCAGTAATTCATTGTTGGTGGTGGTTTCTTCTGGTCAGTCCAGTTATCAGGAGAGCACTCAAACAAAACACCATGTTCTCTTACGAGACCTGTGTCCTCAGCTGCCTTACTAAATTCTGAAATTCCACTGCCTGCCTTTTCCTTTTTCTGTAAAACAATTGCTGAAACATTAGTAGAGAAGGAAACATGTTTACAAAACACTAGCAAATATAACTATGTGATTTCTTCAAGACTCTCTGATGAATGACATTGCTATCAAAAAGCCAGGCTTAGAATACGTAACTAACTTGCTTACATGATTCTTCTCCCCATGGTTTTGTTCCTCTGGCATCAAAAGGCTTTTCCATTGTTACACAATTTGTAGTTAGACGCATGCTCCCTTTTTTGACTTTTTTTTTTTCCTTCTAGCTGAACACTATTTCTGTATTTTAGACATCTGAAATAATACAGCTCCTTTAAAAAACTGTTAGCTAAAGGTCTCATCTTTCTTTCTCTTGTGTGCCTCCCTAATTAAGAACTGTGCTAGTAAAAGTCCATTGAATAAACTTGTCCAGGCAGGAATTTCTTTTTGTAAATAAACAGCTGAAGCACTTTGCTCAGAGTATTTTCTTACTCTTACTCAGTATGAGGGCATAAGATTTATAGAAAATAAAGACATTTTTGTGTTTAGTTGAGCTTTTGGAGCCATGTCTTATACAAAGCTTTTGAATAAACCTTAAAGTTCAGTTAATCTCTGGATCTGCAAATGAAACTCCTATTCCAATCAGTTGCTTCAAAGGCGAAATAAAAGGTTTTCTTGGAAAAAAATCTCAAGGAACTTATGTCTGCCATACGCAAACCCAGAAACCACAACTTTCAACTGCCTACAATACTGAAGATATGGGAGCTGAACATCTAGAAAAGATGGTCAAAACACCACTGTCCTAATTTCTCAAAAATGGAAGAAGAAAAAGTGAAATGCATCTTAGCAGTTCATAAGCAAAACAGGTAGTATTTGTCTGAGTGTCTTGAATTTCCTTAAACATGCTTTGGATTAAATTAATAAAGCATAGTCTAAATTACTCATAGGTTCACAGAGATTTCACAATAGACAACCCTTCCTGTATCTTTCCTTAGTACATAAAACTGTTTCATGTCAGTAAAAAATCAACTGTACAATTAGCAAAGCAGACTTTTAGCACAATAAAAGTGCGCATTGAACACAAAATGACTGATCTGAATGGAGTATCTTATAAATTGAGAACCTGCCCATAACAGTAATATCAGAAGCTTTAAAAACGACACACATGCAAATACAGCAAAGCATTGAAATAATTAATTGAAAACAATCTTGAAACACTGAGTTGAGAATGTAAATAGAAAAACAAAAGCAAAGTTTCTGTACCTCTTTCCTTATGGATTGCTGAAAAATGGAACGAATTGAAAGACAGCACCGATAGAAATTCTCAATTAACTGAGGGTGGATGGAGCCACTGAGCTGTGCTACTTCTTTGTGAGTTGGAGTAATAAAGATTCCTTGCATCGTTTCCAAACAGAGATAGTGGAAGAGAGTATTCTCAGGACCAGATGTCAACCTTAAAAAAATTAAATCAGAATTCAGAAATTCCAGTTTATCAACATATACTTTGTTTCTTAAGACAGAATTGTTTTTCTGGTAACTATAACAGAGTTCAAAAATGGACACAAGTATTTTCTCTACACCAAGGAAATCCTGCTGATTTGGACTGTTAATATTAATTTAAAAAAAACCAACTAACAACAAATCAAAAAATCATGGTACTAGTTAGGGACTGCATTTGTGTTCTCAAAATTTGCCCCAACAAAGAAAAATGGAAAGAAAAATAAAAACTTTGTCCTTTGTACACCTACCTAGAGACACCAAGGAGTACAAGGTATGTGTATGTGTGGCTCAGAACTTTTATTTGAACTTTCAAGGTCATATAGATGTGAGATATATGCATACAACAGTGACATATTGTTCAGAAACAGTGTTTTATTGTATTATTTTGTATTTTTTCTTTAACTAAGCTCTCAATTTAAGAGCTTCACTTCTGATAATCCCTGGTTAGAATAAAATTATGCAGGAACTTCTGTGATCTGTGTATATTCAAAAAACGATCCAAGTATGGCCTAAAATATGAACTACTTAACAAAAAATAATTTCTTACTTGACAGCATTAAGAAGTTCTTTATCTTTCTCTGAAAGGTTCTTTCTTAGATTTCCTAAATGACATGGATTTGGCAGGGTGTGTTTTTTTCTAGTGGCCTGAAAAACACGCAGATAGATGAAATAACAGAGAAAACACAGCTAAAGGAAAAACAGAATCAAACCAACAAATGACCAACTTAGAAGAAAATAACGCAGCATTTTTTGAAAAGGCTGAAACAGTTGCATCAACTAAGTGAAATGTATTTTATAGCCTATTTTAGACTAAAATGAGTTAGAAGCAGTTGGACAATTGTACAGCAATTTGTCCTGGTAACTTATGTTTGCATCATTATTTCAGGGATATTCTCCAATTATTTCTGCTGATTCAAATGCAGCTGTGCCCACTTCAGTCATGTGAAAACCCCAAATATTTATAAGCAATGATAAAATAAAAACACATGATGGCTCTGAGGCTGACCCAAAGCTTCCCAAGCCAACAGAAGTATTTGCTACTGAATTCAGGGATTCTTAGATTTATTCTTTTACATTGAAAGAACAGCATCCCCTAAGCCCACCAGAACTTTATCAATTCTCTCTGCCTTTATTCTCAGACCTGATCCACTACAGGTTGTGGGTTAGTGCTTTCATCTTCTGCAGGACCTTCGTTACCCTGTTGGGGTCCTCCACTGTTTCTCGTAGGGCTCAGCATCTGTGTTGATAGGGAAGAGTCCCCAAACAGAGATCTTCTGCTCGCTGGAGTAGTTGCTGGTTTGCAAGTGTTTTGTATTTTGCTTAGGATAGGCGAGGTGGTCAAGCTCTCCAGTTTGTCACGTGCTGCAGGAAGGAACCAGTCAGCACAAGCTAAAGGTGGAATGGAAGGAGAATCCAGCCTTTCCTCTATGCTGGCATCTATTCCTTCCAGTTGGAGTATGGTTGCTTTGACCTGATCTACATATATACAGTCTGGTCCTGGATTCCCAATAGCTTTGGATGCACAGCCTCCTGCCTCTAGTAGGACACACAACATGAAGTGTCTCTGCAAATATGAAGGGAGCAACATTAGCCTTTGGTTTAATGTACAGTATGTGCTGTGTTATATCTTATCTGAGATTTGGGTAAAATACAGCACTATATTCAACACTCCTTCCTCACCTTCAGAGGAGTTATTTTCTTCTAATCAAATCACATCCACGGACATCTTTCTGTTATTGTGTTATTTAAGTTAATGACCCAAACATAAACATAAAAGCTATTGTTTACAAACTCATTAGCTGTTTGCTTTAAAGAAAGTCTACATTTAAAAAACCAAAACCAGATACATTTCTGAAATGAGTTGTCTGAAAAGACAAGATCATGAAGGTAAAAATACTTTCAACTGAATTGAAAAGGCATAAAAATGATCAGAATTTATGCTTAACCTTTGCAAGCTTTGCAGATGTATAAATAATGCTACTCTCTGAGAAATTCTATCCCATAAAACAACTACAATATAAGTATTTTGTAAAATTACCAAAGAAAATGCATAATATATATATATATCTTAGTGAACAATAGGCAAGACACAACAGCAAAGAAGAGACCCAGAGAATGGGCATACTGCAGTTCTTAACTTACCAAGCCAACTATCAGTAAGAAGTATCTTGCTTCAGGTTCCCTGTATCCTGTAAAACTTGAACTTTCGCATGGCTGGATATGATGCTGTGGAAATACTTCCCGCCACATCACTAACTGACCGATTCTCCGTTCTGCTGCCAAGGGTAACAGACAGTAGTGCCGACAGTATAAACCTATATCAATAAGATCTTCCTTTGGCAAGTGATTACCAATCAAGTAACCCTTAAGTAAACACAGAAAAGGAAGTGTATTCAGTAAGAAATACAACACCACCATATATCACTTCAGAGTACTTTCTATGTAGAGGTATCCCTGCTCCACATGCACTGTCATCTTAAGCTATCTGCCCATAGACTGTCATCTTGGTATACAGTTGTACAACAGATAACACTGAGCTTTTGCACCACATCTAAAGACTCAAAATACTGAAATATACACAAATAAACCATCAGCATATACGCAAGTTATCAAAGGTGAGTTAGGAAATGCATGGCTTTAACAGCTTGAAAACACCTACAGCATTAAGTTGCTCTCATTTAATTCTCTCTCCAAGATTAGTGAGCTCTCACTGGAATTAATAAAATTTCCAAAGAAGATACATAGTACAGCAGCGGTTTTAGCACTAAGAGCTTTACAGCTCAAGTGCTATCATGGTAGATACTGTGCAGGTCCATTTGTGGGAACAGTTTAGTCTTGTGACACTACCAACATAAAGAACAATTGCATGATAAAATCACCAAAGTTTTCTTTAAGTAAAGGCACTTATCTTCCTCTTTATACTGTTGATTACACCGTCTATATTTACTAAATAAATTTATGAATGAGGTCAAAGTGAAAAAAGCTGTTGATACAATTTCTCAAGTCTTGCATTTAAAGATGGACTAAAGATAGATTGCCTGCTGATAAAAAATTGCAGTGAACAAAAAAATTCCTATTAGGATATCCTACAGTCTCACTTGAATTGATTCTTATTGCTTTATTACTCACTCTCTCTAATCCTCTGATCACACACCAAAAAACTCCAGTTTCAAAGATGTATTTTGTTCTTATGATCATACAGTACATATAATTGCCTTTCACAATTTTTTTCTGTTATGGTGTTTGAGTTCTGGTACTAGAAATACATGTTTAAAGCAGTCATACATTTATTTCATATTTGTGAGGTTCTGAAAGGGTAATTCCAGGAATAAATTAGATTTTTATTTTTTTTGCTAATCTTTAGGTCTTAATCGTTAATAATCATTAATATTACCTTGTAGAAGAGACAAGAGCCCAAAATCATATATAATCTTCTCATGTCATAATAATCTTCAGACTGTGGGGGAAAAAATAATTGTATTGTTTTTAATTCAGAATTTTTATTTTATTTACCAAATGCAAGTGAACTACTTCTGGTAAATTGTAATCAATATATTACTTAATGTTTTCATATTTGACCACCTCTTATTACTAGTACAGCAATTAATACTGAGCAGTAAAGGGAAATACCAAATTTTTAGCCTCCATTATTAATTTTCATATCATTAAAATTTTCTCAAAAAATTCCAGCTGAAAATAACAACTTTCCTATTTAATAGTTATTTGTCCATTAACAATTTTTGTTAGGATTTGCTCACTCTCACAGTTCTTAACAGCAAAGTACCTGCAGTGTAACTATTGACACCAGGGGCCCTCATAGAGTAAAACTTTCAAGTCAAAGCATTTTTTTCCAGTACTTGACATTTTACCTAAAATATACCCATTCATTGATCTTTTAATGCCCAGTGGTCTCTGATTAGTAACACTCTGTTTAGCTGTAGTTTAAATTAAGTAGGTGCAATCAATTTCTGTGCAATAAACTGTAACTTACAAACACCGCTTTCTGTAAGTATTCATCCAGATTGTTTAGAACAGTGATTCTCTTGAATAGAATTTTAAAGTAACTGTTCTGAAACATGAGTTTAAGAGAGCTTTTTCATGACAAAGTAAAGCTGAAATTTCAATATGTTTACACCTCGCACAGCAAGAGTTACTTAAGTAAATTACTACAGTCTCCTTTAACAGTATTAAAAATAAGCATAATTTGTAATTATTTTCTGTAAACTGGAAAATTTAAGTTCTCATTGCTCCACAGGTGTTTTCAGGTTTATTCACAATTGCTTGGGAAGGAGACAA